CACAACCTCTAAAAAGACTGGTCCTACTTTACAATTACCTCTGATTCGATCTGTGAGGAGATGATTCGATCTGTGAGGAGAGGATAGAGAGATACCGGAGGCTAGTGGCACTTTCCAAGTAATTCCAGCAAACAACAAGGCCAGTCGCACATACCGTTTCATTTTAAGTGGAGGCGTGGGTGCAGGCGTGATGCTGCATCAGTGATTTGCCCGATTCTCGCGTTCCTCTCAACCTGGCCGACACTCAGGACATTTGTTTTTGGAACAGGAGGCTCACCCCCGCCTCTGCACCTAAAAGATGTGTGCGGTCATATTATTAAAAAGTTTAGAATAAAAACATAATCTTCTAGTACAGCTCGCAAATGGAGAAAAAAAAAAGAAAACTCATTGCCACAACCGGCAGGATAATAGGACTAGAACACTAGACGCCTATCCTATTATGAGACCATCATCCAAACCGATTGAATATAGCCCATGCTACCATCTCGCACTGGTTGCACCCAGTAACCAAGGGCGTGTTTGGATCCTTGCATAGTCTCACGCTGCATCACATGCATCATCCTGGCTGAGTCTAGCCTGGCTAAGCTGTGCAAAAAAGAGTTGAGATGGATGTTTAGTTGTGTGCATACTCTGGGGCAGGCCAACATGAGAAGTTGTTTGCTAAGCTGTATGAGAAATCTGCACATACTTCCCAAAAGCACGACGGCGACGGAATTCTTTCAGGCCAAACAGACACCAACCCGTCATCCATCTGAACCTGCACCACCAGCGCCCCATGACGCTGCCGTGACCGCGGACAGCCAAGCCGATCCGGCACAGGCGTGCCTCCTCATCCGACGCAGCCCTGCAAAGCACACGCCGGCGGGCGGCGGAGCATGGATGCCCGGCGGCGGGGTCACAGCAGATGATGGAGCTCGGACCGGTGGAGAAAGAGGGAGCTCAAATGGTGGGGTTGAGGCGGACGAGAAGCTCGGACCGACCGCGCAAGAGGGAGCTCGCCCCAGCGGCGGCAGCAGCGGCAGTGGCGATTGGTTGCTGTGAATCGATCTGATTCGATGTGTGAGGAGAGGATAGAGAGATACCGGAGGCTAGTGGCACTTTTGAAGTAATTCCAGCAAACAACAAGGCCAGTCGCACATACTGTTTCGTTTTAAGTGGAGGCGTGGGTGCAGGTGCGATGCTGCATCAGTGATACGCCCGATTCTCGCGTTCCTCTCAACCTGGCTGAGAGGCCTCTTTTTGCAGCAGTCAGGCCAGGCTGAGAAGCCCACACAGGAAACCAAACAGGCTGAAATTTGCATGCCCCATGCAAGCCAAGTGCGAGCCACCGAACCAAAGACGGCCCAAAGGCTCCCTGGAGTCTGTAGGAGTGAGTAAGGACCACGTACAGATCCATGCCATAGCTCTAAAGATGACCTGCAAAAAAGTTAAAATATGTTGTCTGTTAAACATCATACCATTCCTGCAGCTTCATATAGCCCAAACAAGCGCACATATTCCAACCCGAATACAAGACACAGTAATATGATCTACTCGAGCTAGCCATGCCCCAAATAACGCTTCAATGCTAACTGGAGGAATAATGTTAAAGGCTATATGAATCGTTCGTCATAGTAATTTCGCGAGAGGTCAAACTATGAATAGGTGTTGTACTGTTTCGTTATGATCACAAAAACAATATCGTGCACTTCCTACCCAACGTTGCTTTAGTAAATTATCTTTGGTGAGGATCATTTGCTTGTGGAAAAACCACATAAAACTTTTGATACGCAAGGGAACCTTAATTTTCCAAATATGTATCGATCTTGGGATTGGGCCAGAATTAATTATATCCATATACATAGATTTTACCATAATCACTCCACTTCTGGTTAATTTTTAGTGAAAGGAATGAGGTTGGTCGGATAGTTGAATCTCCATCAACCTCCGTATCAAGTGTAGCCAGGAGTTCCAACGCTCCCCAACTAAAGATCTCCTAAACTGTATATTTAAGATACCTCCCTACAACATGGTTTACAACATCAGAAGACGTTGGCTTGACTAGCGTGAGGTTGCCCTGACGTTGCAAAGTAATGAGGCGGCCTCAGCATGGAAGCAGACATGTGGGTCCGCACCACTGAACTGGCTCAGTTTTCTATTACCTAGTCAGGTTTAATTTTACAACAACGGTACCTTGTCCGGTTTGATGTTTTTAACAGTCTGCAGCGACAACTATGGTAAAAATATGTGGTCCAAAATGCAATTTTTGGCTATATGATAATGGCATACAAGTATATGCACATAGAAATTAGTTAATTAAATTTATGTTTCAGAGGTTGTCTTAGTGGCCAAAACGTCATTTTCTGCTTCTCAAGACTGACGCGATATAGCCTGATATAAATAACTTGGTTATGTGACGGAATGACATGCAACAAATTAAAGTGACATTCCATATTTATCTTTACCTTTGTATCCATGTGTATCTTTAAACACAGCAAGCAAAGAATATGATGATGGCTGCGTGTGGTGTGTGTGAAGCAAGGAATTCACAGCTCTTATTTAGAGAGACAAAGCACAAAGAAAAAGCACGCAAAGCAGACGCAAGGCATGCCAGCCCATAATGCTAGCAAAGCTACATCCATATTCCTCCTACTCAAGGCACATGTCTGCATGCAACTTCCAGTTTCCACCTCCCCGATCTATTTTGCTTCTGTAGGCTTCTGCCAGCACCACAATTTATCAAGGTACCAACCTGAATCAATTTGTATACGTATCTGCAGATTAGTAAAATCCTTCTCCAAATCTGTACGAGTCATTAATTATTTAGTGAGGAATGATGTTAACTTGTTTAGTGTGTAGGAAAGGAAGGAATTTTCACATGGAGCTGCTGCCCTTGTCACTAAGCAAGAACTAGATCATAGCCAAAAAGGAAGATTGGTCCGATTCGTCATGCCTCCAGAGGTAAATCCATCACTCACCTTGATCTTCAGTGATTAATGCTGCAGTTTGTGTCCTACTTCGGTTTCTTTAGCTACTTAGCGTAACTTGGATCTTGATTTTTTAGTGATGGTATAGTCAAGAATATAAATGCACTTAATTTTTTACACACTTGATTGGTGATTATGCAGTTATCACTCACTTCCATGTTTTTAAATGCACCACTTGGTCCTTGCTTTAATTTGTAGTAATAAGTTATGTCTTAATTGATTTACGGTTTTTCATAGTTATGATGCACATTGTAGTTTGAAATTAAAGAGTTTCAGCAAGAAAGCTAAAAATGGCGAACCTCATTTGGTGTTATTATTGTTGAACACTGCAGAAGATAGAGATCGAGCCAAAAAACATCGATGCTGCAGCAGGAGAGATACTTGGTGTTTTGGAGGACACAAGCAAAGGAAATCTGATCTACTTCAAGGGCTGGTATGGATTTGGAGCATCCGCGGTTCTCAATCTGGTAGCCCAACGCCTGAAATCATCAACAAGACAGAACAAGTTTGATATAGTTATCCATGTGGATTGCTCGGTATGGAAAAGCATGAGAGCCCTGCAAAAGGCAATCGCGGAGGAGTTGGAGCTTCCGCATTCAGTAATGGCCATCTTTGATCGGTGTGAGGAGGAGGACGACTTCAGTGGGATAGATGAAGGCTCCAGAGGGGTGATAGCAGATATCAGAAGGGAAATCTTCAGAAAACTTGTTAACAGTATATTTGTGGTAGTTTTTCACAACGGGAGCAGAAGGTACATTGATTTGTATGATTGTGGTGTCCCAATAACAACATTTTTGAGTAACATGATGTTGTGGACCTGGCACGGGAGGTTTCGGGTCGATCTCGATCGAATACTAGAAGATGGGGAAAAGGGAAAGATGAAGAGTCAGACAGATGTTCTCTTATATGCTTCTCCGCAACTTGAAGATGAGGAAATACGAGATCTACTGCATGAAGAGGCTTTGGAGGTTGCCAGGTGTGCGGGCATTGTTAAGCCCGATGATATAAGCCACAAGATAGTCACGGAGTGCCTCATATACATGACAAAAATTGCTACGGACTTGAAGACACATGCACCAAACTATTGGATCTGTGATGGTATTATACAGGGACAATGCATCAGCATGGGATATTGGCAATTCTCTGCACAGAAACATGTGCTTGGATGTTGAGTTAACATATAATGAGGAAACAGCTCCCATGCTACAGGTGTCGGGTGATTTACTTGTTAACCGCTGGAATTTCACCACCCACAAACAACTCCTAAAGGATAACACTCGTGTGCTGCCTCCTCAGGTGACATCATTCTTCCTTTCTGCAGATGAGCCACCAAGAAATACAACATCAATACTACCAGTTGGCATGTTCCAACATTCACAAAGCAGCAAGCTACGTGTGTTACATCTGTCTCATTGCACGTTCAGTTTTGCATCTCCTCCCTTCGTTCATTGTGTCCAACTAAGATTGCTCCATCTGGACCATTGCACGAATATCACAGACGATGAAGAGCATCCAAGCCACAATGAAAACATGACATGTTTCCAGAAGTTATGGGTTCTGGTTTTGAGGTATACAGATTGGTATTGGCTTCTATCGGAAAAGATGATGAGTTTAATGACTGACCTCAGGGAGTTGAATGTGGAGGGAGTCAAGCATTGGAGCATAAGCGATTTGTGTGGTGATATTCCTAGCCTTGTCGTACTTCGAGTAACAGCCAACACAGTCACAATTCATTCACAAGACATCATAAAAAATAATGGTGCATGTGCATCACTCCTCAACTTGTCCAAGGCAAGTCTCCTGAAGACAGTCATCCTTGAGAGTTGTGCTGAATTGGAACAAGTCACCCCTTTCATGTTACCCCCATTGCTTGAGTCATTTAGCTTCATCAACAGTGGTGCTACTGCTGCCAAGATATCTTGTATCTCCTTTCGGGGTTGTTCTCAGTTGAAGAATATACTTCTCAGAGGAAATTTGGGGCGCCTGGGGGAGCTGGACCTCTCGGACACGGCAGTGAAAACCCTTGACCTCGGAGAATTGGAAGCTCCAAACCTAAAGTGTTTCATACTGCTGGGCTGCAAGAAGCTCCGTGCAATATTATGGCCACCGGAAGATAAAAGGACATGGGCGTTGGAGAAGTTGCACATCAGCACCGTCCAATGACAGCTTCCGCATCACATCTGAAGGCTCCCGCGGCGCGCTCCGCACGTGCGCCTCGGGAGATCGATCGGCCGCCGCCGCCGTCGCCTCCCCAGCGTCGCCTCCCCCTCGCCGCCGCCGGAGTGCGCCCGCCGAGCGAAGCCCGCGCGGCGCGGGCGGCGGCGGGGCATTCCCTCCTTCCTCTGGCCCTCGTGGCGGCGGTGCGGGCCGTCAGATTGGGGACAAGGGGCGCCTCGTCCGGCTGGTCTCCCGGAGGCGGGGACGGCTGGATCCGGCAGCGACTGGGCTAGGAGGAGGTGGCGCGGTGTGGCGGTGCTGGTGGCAGGGTTTCGGTCGAGGCCGTCTTCGATCTAGATCGGGTTCTCCATCGGGGCGTCACACGGCGGTGGGATCGGATCGGCGGCAACGTCACCGGTTCGGCGGAGGGCTCCGTTCCAGCCAATCGCGAGATCGGGACGCCGTGGCCTCCGGTGAAAATCGCGTCTGACTGCGGTCATGGCGGACGACGGCGGCGTCTCGGACGTCGTTCCCTTCTCGAGGCATCATCGTTGCAGGTCACGTCAACCTGATCGAAAGGCTCCGGGGGAAACCCTTGATCTGGATCTACCGGATCGGACGATGGCGACGTTTCGATGTCGTTCTCCCTCCTGAGGGCATCGTTTTGGAGCAAGTGTTGGCTGGAGGGGACAAGAGGCGGCGTGGCATCTGGCACGTTGACAACGGCGGGTCTCAGCGGCATGGAGCAGCGGGGGTCTCGCCGGTGGGCGTGTGATGATGGACGAGTGCAGGATGGTGGCGCTGTCTGGCGTCGTGGTGGCGTCGATGGCAGTGAGGCCTGGCACGGTTCATGCAACAGTTCAGCTCTGAAGATGGATTGATGGTACGTGGCTGCGGCGGCCTCATACCCGGCAGGGGGCCTGGTTGACGAGCACGCCGGACTGGTGGGTGCCCATACCCGGAAGGAGTCCTGGTTGGGACCTCAGGTCTAAGATGTTAGGTTTGGCTGCGAGGTCTGTTTGGTATTAGGCCCAGACCATCAGCGCCCCTTCATCAGTTAGATAGGAGTAGCGACAGAGGTTGCGAAGATGGTGGCTTTGGTCTTACTGTTGTACGACTTTGTAAGGTCTTGTGTTAATAATCAATAAAGTGGCCATATGCATCGTCCAGATGTAGAGGCCGGGGTATTCCCCCTTTTCGAAAAAAAAGCACCGTCCAATCTGCATCACCAAGCCAGAATAATTGGGAAGAGAAGACCAAGGAGGCTAGTGTTGCTGGAGGATCATCATCCATCTTTGCTTTTGGGGAATCCCAGCTAGGCACCAGGCAAATTGCATCTTTTGACTTTAATTGGTACATATCTGTTGTGGATCCAAGGCTCATGTGGTCTCTTATGCCCTTTCAGAAAGAAATTGAGGGAAACTTTGTATACATGGAGATTGATTCATCTCCTGCCAGTGGAGCTACTGTTGGTGGCCGTGAAGTTGCTCAAGGCATCGGGAGCCAGCAGCAGTTTGCTCAATACTTATATGCAAGAGATGTCTTTCAAGAGCACCCGCAAGCTGTCACTGCTATCGAAGGTGTGACCAGCTGGATGTGGGCTTGCCCACCTATTCCTACTCCAAGACCTCAAGACTGGTACTTCCACATGCAAGATGAAGAGAAGATGGAGAGTGGATCGTTACAGGAACAACACAACACTCGGAGGATTAGTACCAGTGTTGCTTTAGCCCCTGTTTTGAGGTGTGATAAAGCACAGATGTTGTATGTGCATGATAGCTCGTCCATCGCCTGCATTCCATGCCCACAAGGTGTAGACTGGGGGTGGCTTCAATGGTGCCGAGTAGAGAGGTGCCCCAAGCTGTGCTCTGTCTTTGCTACTCCCCAACTAGATGGTGGTGAAACCATCTTTTGGTGGTTGAGGACATTCTGGGCGTCCCAGCTCCCTATGGCGTGCTACATCTGGAACTGGAGTACAACATACCAACCAAGTGTAGGATCCTTCGAATACCTAGTATTATTGCACCTGGACAATTGCCCTAGGCTCAAACATGTGCTTCCCTTGTCTAATCTTATGGACACCCTGCCTAGCCTGGAGACGCTCGAGATCGTGTGCTGCGGTGATCTGAAGGAAGTCTTCCCTTTGGACCCTAAGCGCCAAGAGAAGCATGAAATTATAAAATTTCCCAACCTAAAAAGGATCCACCTGTACCAGCTCTCCAGTCTACAGAGCATCTGTGGGAGCAGGATGTCCGCGCCGAACCTTGAGACCGTCAGAATCCGGGGCTGCTGGGGCCTTCGACGCCTGCCGGTAGTCAGTGGCAGAACCACCAACCGGCCCAAGGTGGACTGCGAGAAGGACTGGTGGGACAACCTGGAGTGGGACGGGGTGGAGGCGAACCACAACCCTTCGCTCTATGAGCCGCGCCACTCGCAATACTACAAGAAGGCCCACCTGCCAAGGGTCACCGTTCTCAGGTGAGATATATCTATCAATAACTTGGTGTGCTAGCGAACTTAAACTTGCTGTTTCTATCTGTACTACTTTTTTTTGTCTTGATACTATACGTGCATAGTATCATCCCATTGATGGTTTGTTCTGCTGCACTACTGTAGGTAATCAAATCCATCCATGGTCAATGACCGCTACAGGCACGTCGGCCCTATGGTGCTATGGTGCTTAATTATCTGAAGCTTTCTCTGGAGTGTGCGTCCGTGTGCGTTGTTGCCTTACTTTATGCTGCTTGATTGGTCCGTGTGGTTGTGTGAAATCTGCATCTGCATTGCTATTGGTTTGGCGGTGCGTCTTCCAGTTCAGTTTGACTTGATTTGGTTTATCTTGATCTTGTTTGGTTTGCTCATATTTTCATGATGAAAGCCATATAGGCTTCAAAGTAAGAATGCATCATCTTGTTGGATAGATGATGCATGCATGGTACAAGCTTTGAGAGAAATAAATAAGAGAGGGCATTCAGGCTATGCTGCATGAGCACCCTGCCTGCTCATGCTGCTGCTATCCTGTTGCTCTCCATTTGTGTGTTGTGGAGTGTGATTTGTCAGCTACGGACTGATTATTGTAATGCTAAGCAATTCCTTCGACTTTTATACAAATGGTGATGTGTGTGTGTGTGTCATACATAAACTGCAGCTTTATGTTTTGTTCTGCGCTGATGGCATATAAGCTTGTAAAATTTATTTGAGTCAGTTTTTTCTTGACTAGTTGCTGGAAACCGTTCGTTTGTACTAACTAGATTTATGCTTGGATTAGAGTAGATAGCAAGCCACATGCGGTTAACTGATTTATAATAGGTCCTATTGGCTGTAGCAGATGTGACTTAGGCAACTCTGAATTTAGCAAGACTGAAGATGTTAACAACACAGAACCAGTACATACATGGCAGGCAAATAGTAGAAGTAGAATCCTTTTGTTATCAATTTGTCACTAAAATAGCAGGAAAACCTTGCTCAACTAGCTAGCCTGCAGCACCTACAGGAGCAACCACCGGTGATTGTTTTGGCGACATTTCAACGAATTCTGCGAGTTCAGATGATTTCCGCAACAGATTCCGTGAATTAATTCTGGGACTTGGCTGTAGCAGATATGACTTAAGCAACTCCGAGTTTAGCGAGACTAAAGATGCTAACAACCAATACATACATGGCAGACAAGTAGAAAGAGAATCCTTTGGTTATCAATGTGTCAATGAAATGGCAGAAAAAGTTGCTCAAGTAGCTAGCCTGCAGCACCTCCAGGAGCAACCACCAGCAAGTGTTTTGGCGACATTTCAACGAATTCAGTGAGGTCAGATGATTTCTGCAACAGGTTGAGAAAAATGGCGGCGATAAGGGCATTGAGCAAGAGAGAAATAAATGAGAGGGCATTGAGCTTGTGCCGCATGATCACCCTGCCTGCTCATGCAGTGCTGTGTGTGTGTGATTGATTGAATACTGTAATATTCAGAGGCAAGGCTATTTGCTTTTCAGTCTGTAGAAAATTTCCAAACAAAATTATTCA